TTTTGGGTATTGTTAACTTTTATGTATTTCAATAACGCAGTTGAGTAATGTGTGGATATAAAACATTGGTTGTATTGCAAGAACGTGGCCTGTAGTGCTTTGATTTTGCTGGGTTGTATCTTGTTGAAAAGTCAAGCTTGGCAGATAGAATTCCTATTAGAAATTTTTTTCCTTTTCTTTCTTTTCTTTTCTTCTCATGAAAGAAGATTGAGGACTTCTGAAGTGATGTGAACTATTCTTTTGAAATTGGGTTGCCTAGTGACCGGTAGTTGTTTTTGGGGTGTGAATGTGATGTGAGGACTATTTTTCTAAGGTTCTAGGTTGTTAGACGACAGAGAGCTATTCCTTAGAAGTTGGGTCTGTTTCAGACAGGAGTACTGTAAGGTATTTCGTAAGACCTTTACCCTTGACTTTTAATTTCGTGGAATCGATGGGTTCTTGTGGCTTATTAGACGTACTCATGACCATTTTGTCTAATCCTACTAAATAGGGACTCCTATGTAATGAGAGTCACCTGTCTGGGTTGAATGGGCCTTGGTAATCCTTGTGGATGAGTTAAAGAAAAGACTCACCACTGAGGGTTATTATTTGTATCCTATGGGGTGGGTTTGAATATTAGTGTGGAATCTAAAAATATGAGAGTTATCCTTAGATTTCAAACTACATTCTGGAGTGGCAATTGTAATTTTATTAGGAATTATTCTCCCCCATATATCATTGGGTTGCCTTATCTTCTTTAGTGGAAGTTGTTTCTTGTTTATCACGCGAAATCATTTGTGTTGGGAGAATATTCCAAAAACTTGTTATTGAGTAGAAGTCATTTGTTATTAGTTGGTAGGAGTGTTAGTTCAATCTGTGTTTCATTTGGATTTGTTTAAACTCTAGATCTTTTACTGTTTAATTTCGAGGACAAAACTTCCTAAGGTAAGGAGATTGTAACACTTTGTACTTCTTGGACTAGTGGGATTTCTCTTAACACTCTTATTATTGTACTTGGAGCCTCTTTGGTTCATTTTGGGATATTGATTGAGGTGGTATCATAATGGTAAAGTAAGATTGAACCAAAAACATTGATTCGGATAATTGTCCCATGAGTAGTCTTCACTCTTTTGCCTATTTCTCTTTCCACACTTTGAATTTGGATGAGAGGTTAGAACCATTGGAAAGATTGTTTCCGATACTTTGATTTGGACACAAGAACGGCTTAAAACGAAGTCCGAACAAGAGAGTTATGCCTGTTTGAAATTTGGATACCTATGCTGAAAGCAAGTCCTCTCTAGCGAACGTTTGACCACTCGAGTGGTCTGCACGAATTCTGGCATTTTCAAGGTCATTTTTTTGGCCCAAAATCTTTATTCTTTCTCCCTCTCCTCCATACCCGAAACTCTAGAGCCCTAAACACTTGATTTCTCCAATTGTTTCCCTTAAATCCATCCTAGATCCTTCAAGAAAATTGAAGAACAAGTCTAGTTCGAGATATCTACCGATTGTTTTGCATTTTCGTTGAAATTTCAAGTGGATTTCTATCTTAAGCTTTCATTCTTGAGGTAGGGGTATCTTTAACTTATTATATCTTTAATTTGAGACGCACATGTGGTAATTTCATTAGATATTCACCTTTGTAGATATGTGTATATATATATATATGTTTGTGTGTATGGATTGTGTTTGCTAATAAATGATTTGGAAGGATGTGGGCAATAATTCATGATTATGGATGAAATTATGTCTATTACTGACTGGCCAGTCGTCCTCCCGGACGTCCAGGTATTGAAAAATGATTTTTTTTTCCTTACAACAAAGGATTTATCACGTTGTTTTGGCACTAGTATTTCATTCCTTACCTATAAAAAATAAAATAAAATAAAAACTGTGTCGTTGTCTCCTTTTTTTTTGTTTTTTAACAAATTCGGCGCCGGGGGTGGGTAAATTAATGGTTAATTTTTCAAAATTACAAAACAAGTAAAAAAATGAAAAGCAATTTACAGAGGAGTGTTGTTACGTGGTTCTTAGGACCCCATCCACTTCATTCTTATTTTAATTTTTTTTTTCTATTATTATTTTATCCTAACATAAAATATCAATTTTATCTTTATCCCTAATCCTAATTCTAACCCTAACTCTAACACTAACCCATACACCACCTTCACTAGCTCCGAACACCGTCTCCAACCTCTCATTGTCACCTTTCACTCTCCCACAACCCTATGCTACCCTCCAACACCCCCACTCTTCCATATCATCCTTCTTCTTCTTCTTCTACTCTCTCTTGTGATCTTACTAATGCAATTTTGGCTAGGGTTCAGGATTACAGTAAAGAGGTGGTGATTGCTGGAATTCGCAATTGCGGTAAAGGGGTGCGGTTGTTGGGTTTCATGGCTAGGGTTTTGCAAAGGAGAAGGTATTTAAAGAAATGGGAAAGGGCTAAGAGAGGAGGAGATAGGTGGTTGTGGGAGTATTTGTGGCTAGGGTTTTGCAAATGAAAAGATTCCAATCATCAGAATGAGAAAGGTTTTAGTTGCTAGAATGCAAAAGGAAAGGGGCGAGGGTCATCAAGAAGGAAAATGAGGTGGGTGGTGGTGTGTAATGAAGATGATGGGCCTACTAGAGGTGTTGGATTGTCATAGAGACAAGGAAAGGGGGTTGCCGAAGGTAGGTATAGCTAAGAAGAAGGCTATTGTAACGCTCTCAAATTGTAGAAAGCCCGAGCCATAGGGTACAATCTGTATTCGTTGACCAATCCCAATTATCAAATAGATTATACATGCGGAAGCGATATGTAATTCTACATTTATTCAGAGTTAATAATAATATGAACACCATTTCTCGTATTTCCATCAATATTCTCAAAATACCATTACATGTATTGATAAATTCACAATCCTATAAGCTTGAATCTATAGCATGTAAATTACATGAGATAGTGCTAAATTAATTACAAACATGTAATGGTTCGGATCAAGATCCGAGTTTTATGTCAAAAATTAGACTTAGTTTGAAAATTTTCTAAGTGTAAAAAAATTCGATTTTTCAAAACTTACGATTTTGAAAATAATATGTGGCAGTAATTCTTCCTTATATATTAAATAGTCTAATTTGATTTTATGAGATATTTCTATGAGATAGTAATCACTTTACTTCAACGTCAAACTTAGAAATTTCAGTCAAAAAATTATTTTTGCACTAAAAATGGGGAGTCACTTTTTGAATTAATTGGATTTTGATTTTTTTATATTTTTCCTTGAATCCAAATGGGGGTATTTCCTTATTTTTATTGTAAACTTACATAAATGAAATATAAATGTAAGATGCTAAATGAAAGCATTTACTTAAATGGTTACACATGAAAATAAGGTTGATATACTGGGAGTGCCTTAGGAAGTGACCTGTGTGACTAGCTGTATCTAGGGTGACTGCTCGAGCGGTCAAGTGGTAGCTCGAGCGGAGACGCGAGACTTCTAGTATTTTCATTTTAAACCTGCAAAACTTCTGAGAGAGATTGCGTTCATCGCTCGAGCGGTAAAATGTTCGCTTGAGCGGTCTGTTCGGGATCAGCACTTTAAAAAGTCATTTTAGCCCTTTATTTCCTTATTCTTTTCATATTCTTTCTTTCTCTCTCTCTCTCTCTCTCTTCTTTATCTTTTCAGCCATTGTTGAGCTCCAAGCTCTTTAAACCTTAGATTTTATCTTCTTAGAGTGAGAATCTCATCCTAGTTTCTTATACAAAAATGAAGAGTACAAGGGGGGCCTCATATTAATCTGAGCGGATCGTGTTTTCATCGATATTGGATCTTTGGGTCTCATTCTCTCCTTGGTAGAGGTAGGGATATCTCTGATTCTCTTCAATATTTTTGTATAGACTAGTGATTAGGCATGTGCGTTGCACTTGACATGTGATTTTTCATTAATTGTTAGTACTATAATTATGAGTGTCTTTTAAATTGATATGTGATATGTATTCAAAGTATGGAGACTTGTATGGGTATGTGACAGCTAAAATTGGCTGACCGCTCGAGCGGTCTTTTTGTAGCTCAAGCGGAGATTCATTGCTCTCAGTAGTTTGTCATTTGTAGGCGTGACCACTCGAGTGGTGAAGTAGTCACTTGAGTAGAGATTGCATGCTCCCAATTATTCTATTGTAGCTCTGTAAAACTTCTAGGACTTCTCATTTTTCACTAGAGTGGTAGAATGATCGCTCGAGCAATAACTTCGAAAGTGTGCTGTTTGCTCGAGCGATGGAAGTTTCTGTCATGACCCAAACCCGTCCCCATGGGTTAAGGACATAACCGGCCAGTAATTACGAGATTACCTACGACCT